TACTACCACTCGTAGTAATGCTCCAGGGGCAGTGCGCTAGACCTATAATTTATAGACGAACACAAGTATGAGCAGCTTAATCTTGTAATCAAGGCGGTTACTGTGACTTCCCCACATGGTTAGTAGTGACGTCACTAATGTCTAGTGATATACATATCCTGAAGAAGATTGTGTCAAGGGTGTTGGTTTATATGGGAGTGCAGCATGGAGCACAAAGGGCAAAACGCGTCTGAATAATCACCACATAACGGGCGTCATTTGTGGTTTTTGCGCTTGTAGTGCTATGGAATAAAAGATCTGAGAAACTATGGATCTGTCCAGAATGCTGTTATGGCAGTACTTACTAATCAGTAATCTTTCATTTCAATATCTTTTCATTTCTATACAGTTTTTCAAAAACTCTCTTTCTTTTCCCCAAAGTTATTAATTTCAACTTGTTTTTTATTCCCACATCTTTACAGTTCCAGTCTTTCAAGAATGTTTTATCCCCATAACACAATAATCTATCATCTCCTACAGCTTTATGCATAATTCTGAGGTCAACAGTCAAAGTTCGGGAACCTAGCAACGAAACAGAAATCGGAAAACAAAACCAAGGTGCCGATGTGATCGTCACAGTAGGTATACAATTTGTGTTTTATGCGACACTCTTACCAAAAACAAAAAACAAAAACAAAAAAACAAAAAAACAAAACTATTTTCGAATGCAACGTTCTGTCAAAATTTAAAAAGCAATCGGTGAATAAATTTAGGATATCAGCTATTAATGATTAACAAACATTTACATTTTTATTTATTTAGATATAGCAGCTAGCTGTAGAGTACTGGGGATACTGAGATGTGGCGACCCATTCGTAGGCATTGTTAGAACCGATCACAACATATTCTCACACTTTATTGTCGATAACAGTCAATATAGAGGGTGTTATTTACCCATGTTTTATTCCTTTCTTTATACTTATACACTATAAATATACGCACTCTTTTGAATACCGGTCCCAAATTATTTACTGCCAAACATTTTCTTTTGAGAGCCTCAATAGGTTATATAGTAAAAGCAATTAGACCATCATCGTCAGTTTCCATTTCTGCTGTTATTGCTCGATAGTCAACAATGTTATGACGTTAGGCTAAGCGCCGGGGAGAGGGGGGGGGGGGGGGGTTTGTTTTAGATCCATTGACGCGGCGTTTGGAGGAAAATGTTTTGATTCAATGTTCAAGTGAAGTGGGGAGGATTAGTTTTCGATCCATTAAAGCTACGCGGGGAGGAATAGAAAAGTTTTTGATCCATTGTTTACATTACTCGTGACTCCTCTTGTGGGTTCTAGGGCCACATGTTTGAGGGGAAAAAAGAATAGATCCATTGCCACCTAAAAAGTATGTTGTAAAACGCGCCTAATTAAGACTGCTGACATCGGTTGAGTTAGTGTAACAGGAGCATATATTACAGCCTATCTGTAAACCACAACAAAACATCCCAACTGTCCTTTTAAGGGCTAAAAATAAAATTATCACCCTGCGGGGAATCGAACACCGATCACCCACGTACCACGTACAATTATACTACCGAAGACTCGAGACATGGGTTCCCATGAAATTATATAATAACGCGAAGCATAATTCGTAGCGTTCCTGTTCCATATTTTAAACTATATGACCTCTTGAGGCCCTAAATGGGATTTTTTAAACAGTAAATAATTTGGGACCGCTATTTCGGAAGTCCACCCCCCCCCCCCCCCCCCAAAAAAAAAAGTAACAGAAAATGTGCACAATCCTTGTAGACAGCAATACATTTCACAGTTCAAACAATTCGTATTTGTTGTCAGAACTTCCTTCCTAAACCAGCTACAGGCCAAGGCCTGCTCTGCTCTAACCTAAGATACAGTTTTCAGGTTGCATTCCCTCTTCTTGTGACACGACTGGTATCCTGTCCAATGACTCTATACAGGGCTTCTTTGTCCAATGCTGTTGGCACAATTTGGGTCGTCAGGTTTAGTGACGCTGCTCAACATTCGGTGTTAACAAACGTCAGGTAGAATAGGAAAGTATAGAGAGAATACTATTAACTGCGTGAAACTGAAAGCTTCGGTGGGGGATTAAACTGTAATATGAACATAGTGTAAGGTTTCGACATAATAGGAAAGTTTGTTGTAGATTACTGACGTATCTTTCTTAACGGTCAAATTTAACCTCTGATTGAAGAATGGAGAGTGAAGTCAGTGCAGCATGTGCAAATGCAAATCACGTACTGGAACAGCGCGGACCTTCTGAAACAAAGAAACATATTTATGTCTAACAAAGCAAACCTAATAAGACCATTTTTGGCTACAGGTGTAAATAATTTTTTTTTTTAATCTATAATGAAGAAAAGGGCAATTAAAATAAAGGTTTGAGAAAAAGAGAGAAAACAATTTTAGCTCTAGTTAATTTGGATCCATTTGAAAATCTCGAGAATTATTTATTACTGATTAAGTGTTCACAAAATTAACTGTTGTCAATATTACTTAAGTGTAAAAAAAAAAAACTATGGATTTTTTTCAATGAAAATAAAACTCTTGACATAACATGCTACACTCATGTGTTTATAGACCAATCGTAAATCCATGGGGGATGTGTTTAACATCGTTCCCTAACTTTCAAGAATGTTTAGTGTAAATTAAGGAGAAAAAGTAAGTAAAAATCCCTTTTAACGCCTTAGGCGCATCGGGCATATGAGAATAACATTTATATCTTTACAGATTAATCGGCACTAGGTGGGTAATGTGGTCAGCATTACGCCGGTCGTCTTTACTTTTCCAGGACATAGTTGCTGGTACCCATTTAGGACTGAGTCGACCTGCGATGCCTCATACCATGATAAAAATCCACAAAACCAGCAGTGGGTTTCGATCGCGGTACGTTGGAATTACGTCGGACTCGCAACGCCTAAGCCACGGACGCAACTAAGTGTGAATCTAGTAAATTATTGATAGATTATTTTGCTTGTTCCAACCGAAACCCTTCGGACCAGAGGGCATGCGGTTGAGTCACTAGTGCAGTGGTTCTTAACCTTGTGGGTCGCGACTCTTTTTTTGTCAAACGACCCTTTCACAGTTGGCCAAAGACTATCGGAAAACATATATTCATCGAATTAATGAAGTAGCGACGAAAATAATTATGTGGTTGGGGGTCGACACAACATGACGAACTGCTTTGAAGGGTCGCGGCATTTGAAAGGTTGAAAGCCAATGCACTAGGGGTTTAAGATAACTAAATTTTAGCTATTAAATGGTGTTTGAAGAGAAGAGTTTCGACTTCATGCAGCTGGGACCTAGTCCAAATACATTGGACAACGCGAACATGATGTTTACCCCATCAACTTGGAGTGCCTATTTATCTATAAAAACATAACCCTAGTACTGTGTGCCCGACCAGCCACTGACGTGGAAAAAAGGACTCTGTTTTTTATTTCATTTCGTTGAAACAACAGTATTTTAAATCTTCTGCAGATCTAAAAGTTGTAAAAAGGTTTCTTTCAGGTGGCATGTTGCTGATGCAGGAAGTCATTTACGCTCCTTGTTCTTTGTGGTCGGACATTGTCGTCTGGTAGGTTAGAATCGAGACCTAGAGCCTGAAGTGCCGATAGTGCAAACTGCTGTAAGATGTCACTTCTGTAGGCCATACTATTCAAGATACCGTGAACTCGATACAGCCGTGTTTGAGAGGCCACGTTAACTTCGCCCACACTCATCCACCTCAAAACCGATCATGTTCAAGGGCTTTTGCATCGTGATAGCCTGCTCTTAGGTCCCTCCAGACATAACTTATGCTATCTGTGAATGATCTGGGAAAACTGAATTCATCTTTGAGCAGAACTGCTCCACAGATACCACGTCCGGGTGACGCCGAGCCAGGCCGGACCTGCTGTGTGCCGAACTGAAGCCAGGACAGGTCTGCTGATCGGTCGCCTTCTATGCACATCTGCATCTCTCAGTCGATCTTGTATGATTTGGTCACTCACGACTACAATGGCGGCTTCTCGCAGCTGTGTCCCGATGGCACTGTCAGTGACTGTTCTTTGTTTGATAGCCAGTCCAACAATAAACGTGTCTTGCCGTCTTGTGGTGGACCTTGGACGTCCGGACTTGCCTCGTTCAGCGAAACTGCTGATTGTATTATAACATGCACGTAGAGTTTGTGTGACAAAGTGGGCATCTCGTAATCTTCTTGCACTTCTCGCAGCTCTGTATCACCCTGCAGCCGTGAAATCACTCTTCACCTGTCAACATTGATCAGGCGTCTTCGCTGAGTCATCGTTACAATGGGAAATGTGACAAACATACCCATTGTTGTTCCTGTCGAAAAACTGGGGGACAAGCGTTTACCACAATCAAGGGTTGCACAATAAATAAAATTATGCCTTGCCACAGGACGCTTTTTCATACATGCAGTTTTCCATTTCTTTCACGACGATTTAAGTGACTTAGAGGTATACATGCCTAACGCAGATTTGATTTATTGTCAGATTAATAAACACCTTTTTAGTTTGCAACATAATGCAGCAACACTTTTTTTGGCTGTATGTTCAGACCCGTAAGGAAAAACAGCTTAGTTTAAATGACCTAAAAATTTAAGGTGGCTTTTAAATTATGCCAGTAGTATATTCAAACATACTTTGGATACCGTGTACCAGAAAGAAGGAAAACGTTGACATCCTACATGACCTAAACATCAACAAGAAATTCTTCATAAATACCATCATCTCCTTAAAGCTGATGAATTTTAGACGTCTCAAGCGCCTTGGTGATCTAGAGAACAGTGATAGAGGATGGACTTTCCGGAAAACGAAGCAGAGGCTGACCTCTGCGAAAGTGCATACAGGGATTTCAATATAGATACATTGGCTATGAAAGAAAACATAGCTTGGGAAATGGCTGGAGACACAGAGAATTTCGGGCGTGTTGGGAAGAGAGTTAGTTTCTGCAAAGAACTTGCTAACTGACTAACTGAAATATATAACTTTATGCCGATGTTCCAGCTTTCACTGTTACACACAGAAACACTGAGTGGAAAACCCGTCTATATTTGGAACTCATCGTCAGGTATATGAATAAATTTGTGGCTGCGTTGATCTGATGCGTTGTGATCGCAAACGCAGTGACAACAAACAATGTATTTCTATAAGCAAGACCTGAAGTAAACTCTGGATTAAATATTGGCCATATATACTCTATAGTAATGCCAACATAACAAATAATAAAGTTACTGGACACCAGAACAATCATTATGGCCACTTTCTGATCGCGTCGAGAAAGTAAACTCGCTTGATCAGTAACATTTTGGCGCCATTTATTGTTACTTTTAAGTTTGTCGAAAAGTAGAACTGTGAATACTAACACAAAAAGGAACGAACCAATTTGAACTACAAGATTGCTGAATGGGTTGGCGTACTTGGCCACACTGTATCGGTCAGATGTAAAAACAAGACCAAGTCGGGAAGAATTTCTTTCTGGGAAGAATTTCATTCCCACACGGCTGGTGTAAAACAGCGAAGCCACTGTCGCTGCCATAAGCACGTAGATGCAGATAACAATGATTGTAGATTTCCTCGGTGTACTTAATGTTTTCACCTGCAAGGTAATGTTGAAAAACGAATAAAAATAAATATATAAACAAGCATTCAATAAAATAAATACAAACATTTGAGATTGGCGTTTGTATTTCAGGTGAAAATATTCCTCTAAAGGCATCATCATCATGTGCCGTGCTGCTAAGCGTTGGCTGTTAGGCTTCGTCATCTCACACAATCCTCAGAATCCTGGATCAGATCAATGTTTCTCTTTCGCCCCATCTGTGTGTTTCAGCTATCCATGTATTCATCTCTTTGTCTTCCTCTTGCTCTCTTTCGGTCCATCTTTCCAGTTGTTACCAAGTCTCAAGCGCATTTCTTCTCATCAGATGTCCAATAATAATCATCATCGTAACAAAACAAAAAAAAAACTGACTGTCTACATTTAGTTGTTGAAATAAGTTTACAACTTGCATCTGTCTCAGCGAGGATTACATCGTTTTTTTTTCTATCCCTCCATGATATTCTTGGCATTTACTTACTTTCATGGTCAATCATTATTCCAAAGATTGCTTCTTCTTTAATGTCCTCTGTTACTTCTACTATTCCTGCTTCTGTGTATAGGCAGGTTATATGTCTAGAGAAATGATATTGTTTAGGTTTAAACAACGGATCAACATCGTGGCACAAGGGTAGTAACCCATGTGCTCCGTTTTACTTTTAAGTCAAGCCTGGGTCCCACGAATCCCAGCACAGTGAACGAACTCGGTAGCGCCGGCGAGGATCCTGAAATACTTGATATTGTTATAGAGTTCTATAAAGTAATTTTTCCTTCTTGTTCGAAGTCTACCTTGGGCTCACCTCACCCCTTACAGATGGGTATCGCAGGCATTCTCTCGATTTGGAAAACAACATTTTAGTTGCCATTTGTTTATGTTCTATATATTGTGCGCCGACCTTCTCTTATCAAGCGCACGTCTGATGTCATTCGTTTTTATCGCTCCCGAAACCTTCCTCAAGCAACCCACATCCTAAATTGTAGAAAATGAATCAGGCACGGGGGTTTTAAGTTACATTTAGGATGGGAGCGGGGGACAGTCCTAGTGGTCCTTAACAAGTATGTTGCACCAGGTGACTAATTAGGTTCTTTTCCCACCTCACAGTCAGACAGCATCTGCCTGAGAAGCGGTTGGTTTTCATACAAATAAGCCAGATCTGCAAAAGGTGATGCGAGACTAAAATCTGGAAGTGGAAGAACAGTCAAAACGTTCCGCTTTAGTTTGCAGCCGGTAAACACTAAGAAGAAGAAGCGTACAATGCATTTAGAATACAATAACACAGTTGTATTGCTTATGTAATCATCATTATTGTAACATGATAAAGAGCTTACTTTCAAAGGGAAAGCCACACAAAGGAATCTCTCCAGAGTAATAAATGCTGTTATCCAACTGGTTGTTCTGCCGAAGTAGGTCAGCGGGATCCCTGCAGTGACGTAAGCAGTTTCCAATGGGTCAAAAGGGAGATCTGCTTGCCGGAACAGTGGGAAAAAACAGATGCTTCGCCATAGTATGAAAAGTAGAAGGAACAGATCAGACAGGGATAGCCCAAGCAGAGCTATATTCACCGAATCGGAAAACCCACATTTGATGAACACTGTGATATTAATCAGATTTGTGATTATTCCAAAGACAGAGAAAAGTGGATTAATAACAACATAAACGACACCGATGATGATTTCCCGGGTCAGTTCGCTGAGGTAAATATCAGAGCTTCCCAAGCTATTGGTCACGGTGTTCTGTGTGGACATGGAGACGTCGTCGTTTGTAAGTTGGGCCATTGTGTTCAGTGCAAACCGTTACTTCCTATAATCTCGGCGATAATGTCAGATGAAGCTTCATGACTGTTTCTGACCTGCAGACTGCAGATATTTCCTGGTTTAACTTTTACAACATGAAATCTCTCTTTTCTTTTTTTCTACCTAACAAGGAATCTGGGATTTTTCCAGCTGGCATCAAGAATCCTACTCTCCTGGTCAAAGAGGTGTTTAACCTTCATTTTCCAAAACCTGGCGGGAAAAACCAGTCAGTCTCTCGTCGTAATATCTGGTTATGAATCTGAGAAATAAACCCACAATTTTTAGAAATTTAAATTGCAGCATTTATTTCAGTGTGACACTTGCTTCAGTGTAACAGTAATGTGTCATGATTGCACTAGGGTCATGTTAATCACATATGGTTATTACAACATATTATTCCATCACGTATGCCTTAGCCTGCCAAATAGGCTATTGAATCCTAAATTTTGTTTGATCTAGGTTCTTACGCTAGTATTTAAAGACTCGTAAGCACACATTGAAAATAATTTGTCTGTGAATCTCTTGCTATTAAGTATTTAGTACTTTTCAAATCTAAAGCAATGCAGCGATCTAGTAAGATCAAATAACCCAGAACATATTCAATTTTACCACCTTCAGTTTATTCAAACTCGTACCATCTTAATCGGGATTGTTTTGGACTATCGAAACCGAGCTCACATTTTAGTGTGTGTTTAATGAGTAATCTTTTGATATCAGTTTTTAGATAATGTTAGTTCTATTGATATTCGAATAAATTAATAGCAATTAAAAGCACACAGGCTGGACTAGTTTAGCTGCTACGGATATGCAGTCTGGTGTGGATGATGTCATATGTGTATGGTTCTTAGTGGTCTTACAATGGCTTGAAAATGGTGCGTTTGCATTACATGTCGAAAAATATCTAGAACTATGAGTTTTGAAGAAAAAGATGTTGTAGTAGCAGTTCTTCTTTTCCCTTACTATTGATTGTATCATGTGCTAAGACAAAAGCAGAAAGGCTTAGATTTATGGTATAGTTTGGTTTAGTCAGTTAATTAGTTTTTCCACGTATTCTCCACATGGCCGATGTGCCATCTTAGAAGTGGCTCAGTGCCTTGTATAGGACAGCAGCTTGTACTGATGTCCTAAACACCACACACACACAAAATTATTATTATCAGTAATTTTTTTCTGAGAACAACTTTTGCACTGCATACCCAAATAATTTTAAAATGTACTTTAGTTCAATTATCGTTAACATTTTAAAAACACCTAATCTTTTTTCTTCTTCTTTGTGTTCGGTTTCGTGTGCTCAGATCAGACCATGGGATGGGTTGCCTCTGTTAACTCGCATGTCAGTAGCAGATCCTTCATGGTTCCCCATAGCTTGCTCTGCACACTTTGCTCTCGAGGCTAGATGTCTTTTCAAAGTTGTAGGTAGAGTAGGCAGGTCTGCAGAATGTGCTCAGGTGTTTGTGGTCCTGTCTGACAGACACACTGTGGGGACTGTACAATAATTTTTGTTTTTGTTTTTTGTAAATGCATGCTGTAGTTGAGCCTGCAGTGTCCTTACTGAAAAGAAAAACACATACAAACAGGTTATCCTGTTATTGTCTGGGGGGTGGGGGGGGGGGGATATAAACTGTGCTATCGCTACCCTCTCTCTCAATCCCCACCCCATGGATTTTAAAATAATAAATAACGAAATCAGGAAACCAGCTAGGAGGCACCCAGTAACAGATTTAAAAAAAAAAAAAAATATTAATTAAACAGTTTAATGGATACAGGTGATTAAATAATTCCCTATACAGGTTTTTCTCTATATATATAATTGTAAACGAATTTTGTATAGAGAATGGGAGCTGCATGGTTTTAAGACATGGTGTCGGCTTGAATGCTAGAGGTTCCGGGTTAAATCCCCGGTAATGGCTGGGATTTTTTTCTCTATAAGGTTTGAACAACAGATCAGCAGCAAGACACAAGGGTAGTAACCCATAAGTGCTCGGTTCTTCTTCTAACTCAAGTCTGAGTCCGATGAAACTCAGCACAGTGCACAGGCTCTGTAGCAGCGGCGATGATCCGGAAATACTTTGGGTATATTTTTAACTCCAAATTTGGCCCAGGCAGCGCCGTTAGGCTACTTTTTTCGATTTCAGACTGTTAATAGATTTTTTACGTGCTCAGCAATGCACACGTACGTCCGATCTCACAACCCAGAGACCAGGGGAATTACTAAAGTCCGAGTCCAGGTAAAAAAATCTCAAGGCGACACCATGTCTTAAAACCATGCAGCTCCCATTCTCTATACACAATTTGTTTACAATTATATATCACGAAAAATAAAGGCGTTGGGCGCCTAACTAACAACACACAGTATTTCGTCACACACACACATACACACAGAAAAGGTCAAGTCGGGAGATGTGACCCAGCGTCATTGCACACGTTTATAAACCATAAGTTTTCTGCCACCAGTACAGACAGCTGATAAGAAAGTGTCCGCCTGTTTCGTCATCTGCACGAAACTCTGTAGCTACAGCGACGTTCCTCCATTTACCTTAAATTGTTAACTCTGGTACCCATTTCCTAGAGGCTGGGTGAACCTCTGGAACCGTCCGGTTTCGAACACCGGCAGAGGGCTGCAGCTAGTCGCAGCTGGATTTAAACGCGAGTCTCCTATCGATTGCGCTAACGCGGACCCTCCTCAGACACAAGTGTAAATTAATGTTGTAGGGTGATTTATTTAATCTCGTGCATCGATTAAATTGAGTGATGTAATTTAATTTTTTTTTAAGTGCAATAATTATAAAATGGGTTTAAAAAAAAAAACAAAGTTTGCATTATAGTCTTTCTGTATTTTGTCTTGCTATTTTTTTTATGCTTCTTCCCACGTGTATTAGAGGTTTACAAGCTTCAAAAACTGTTCTCCTAGTGTTCGTACAAAAGTACTAGAACGGCTCTTTGGAAAAGTCAGATATTGCCACTTGATATATTAACGACAATTGTGGATACAGTGTAGCCAATCTTCATTGTGGAGACGTCACCATTGTTTAAGTTACTTGCTAGCTGGTGCGCGCGTTATTTACCCTCTACTTGAGCATCGTCTTCTTTTCGGATATGAATTGCCATAACACTTTTAGAAATGGGATCAAGCCTGTATGATTGTTTGTGAATGGTCGTGAGATCTGAGAAAAGTGTAAATATCCTGGGTTGATTTATGCACACATCGGCGACCGGGTCGGCAATTGGCTGGCCGGTACACGACTTCGTCGTCGGTAGGGAAAGTATTTGGATCTGGTTATTTTGATCGCATCAACATTGTAAGAGTCTTTTTCAGGGATACCTGGTGGAGAGCAATGCTAAGGCATTTTATTTGGCGCACATAAACATAGCCACAATTATAACCTAAAGCTTTCCCTTCGGCGGTACTGGTTGAACGTGACGATGTTCTCTCTCTCTCTTTTTTTTTTTTTAAACAAAGCAAGCTAAAGGTTCTGATCTGAGCCTCTATGACATCACTTGGGACAAACCTTTAAGTGTTCCGTTCCATTTTCAGCAGCTGGAATAGAATTATAATATTCAGCTATGCCAATGACAGTCTCATTGTATGTATGTCTTGTGTTTCCTTTGCAAGTCGACTCTTGACAGACATTCTAGTCACGCCCCCTGAATTTATTCTCTCTAGACCGCTACAGTCCCTTTGCTCTTACACACGCTGACCTGCTCACAAAGCGTCTTACTATATTTCCAACAACAACACAAACAAAGGTAAAGATCCCTTTTCACCCCTTAGGCGCATCGGGCATATAGGAAGAGCACCCATATTTTTACAGACCAATCGGCAATAGGTAGGTAATGTGGTCAGCATTACGCCGACCGTCTTTACTTCCCAAGGACATAGATCGTGGTACCTATTTTATGCTGAGTGTCGACCTGCGACCACCATGATAAAAATCCACGCAGCCAGCAGTGTGTTTCGATCGCGGTACGTGGAATTACTAGTCCGACTTGCAACGCCTAAACCACGGACGCCGTTAAGTTAATTAGGTATCCTATCCAAGACGTTGCATAACCACTCTAAGCATTTTTCTTTTTTTTTTGGCACGTCTTACAATACCCATATTTCAATGTGTCACCTCTGTTTAACAAACCATCCAATTAATTTGCAATTTCCCGATACACCGGCATACACTGGAGAAAAGATCTAAAGGACACTCACCACTTTCGACCATTGGAGTCATTCATTTCCCACCGTATGAATTATGCTTGTCTTCGACTTATGAGTCTGTACTAATCACATGTTTGTATTCCATTTCTATCCAGTGGAACGCTGCTGCGACAGCTGGTATTGCGACTGCGACATTAGTAGTAATATTAATACGATCAGAGGTAGTAGTTATGGTAGCAGCAAATGTAATAGGATTAGGAAAAAGTGCTAGTAATAGTAGTTATGATTGCACTAATATTTGCAGTATTAATAGAGATTCATATAAAATAGTAGCAGTATTATTAGAGATACAGATAAGATAGTAGCAGTATTAGTGGTAGCTTTAGTGGTAGTCTTATTAGTTTTAGCAGACGCAGCAGTAGTAATAATAGCGGTTGAAACAATAGTAGTAATTATGACAAGAGTATGGTGTCAGCAGTGGTAACTGAAAAAAATAGTAGTAGCAGCAGTAGTATTTATTGTAATTGTAGTGGTTGTGGAGGTCGTAGTAGATGTTGTGTTGGCGGTATTAGTAGTAATAGTAATACAAAAAGAAACAACAGTAATGGCAATAACTAGTAACAGTTAAAGTAATAAGGCAATAGTAATAGCACTATCAGAATTAGTACCAGAATTTGTAATGGTAGAGAAAGCGACAGCAGCAGCAGTATCAGTAGTAGTAGTAGTAGTAGAAGCAGTAGTAGTAGTAGTAGTAGTAGCAGTAGTAGTAGTAGTAGTAGTATTAGCAGTAGTAGTAGTAGTAGTAGTAGTAGTAGTAGTAGTATTAGTAGTAGTA